CTGCTGCCAGAACATGAGTGCGGGCACTTTCCCCTCCTCTTGCCTTGCCCATGTTGCCCACAGCAGAGCCCAGCCTGTGCTTGTCCCTCCCCATAGAGGCCTTGGAGGGCATGCCTGGCCCAGGGCTCTGGAGTGCCCCCCGCCTGTGCCAGAGAACGAGTGGCTCTGGGGGGACGCGTTAGCAGATGCGCAGTTCTGCTGCTGGCACAGCACTCTGAAACAGGAACGGCGACTCCGGCCAAGGACTGTAGCCCGAGCAGCCTGCCAGCTGCCAGATGTGCGCGTGGTGGGGCCGCTGAGCCCTTTGAAGAACCGTCGGAAACTCTGAACCATGTCCGGCGTGGGCGGGTGGCAGGCTGTGGTGTGTGCTCGGGAGATGAGAGAGTGGCCAGCCCGTGCTGCCCACTCACTAGGCTCCTTGTTTCACGGGCCTGCTTTCCCGGGAGCGGGGTGGGGGCTAGCAGGTGGGGTGAGGTCTTCTAATCCTGCGGCCCCCCCAGTTGGAGCATGAAGGCAAGAAAGAGGTGGGTATGGGTCCTGACTTAAGGGCTATGGGGAAGAGAAGAGGAATAGGAAGGCAGCTGGACCTGCAACAAGGAAATCTCCACAGGCTTCTCCTCCAGGAAGCCTTCTCCACCCCTGCCACCTTTCAGTGCCTTTCTTCATGAAGACACACGCATAAAACAGATGCGTTTGAGGGCTAGCAGGGACCTCAGTCCTTCCCCAATCCAGACCGCTTGCCTCGCAGCTGAGGAGGGGAGGGACAGAGGACTGGGGATCAAGGCTTCCTCACAGCACCCTTTCCCTTTCTGCTCTCTGGTTGTGAATTAGCTGTCCTGGCCCCACTTCCTGTCTCTTCTTGCTGACTCCTTCTAACCACCTTGCATCACAATCACCATGTACTCTAGCTTACCACTTAGGGTCCTTCTTCACCTGAGCACAGGGCTGGGCCAAGCACAGCACCTGGGACTCAATATTCACTGGCCATTTCGCCCAGAAGTACAGCACTCCCTGCCAAAGAGCAGCTGTGGGCCTGCTGAATCCCTGGGGCTTCTGCCTGGGAGCAGAACTGTGGATGTTCAGCCTGAGCCTGGTGTGGGGCCAGCAGGAGTGTGTGCATTTATCATGGGCCCTGAGAATTCCTTCATTTGTTCCCTCACTCACTCATGGATTGGAGAGTCCCCCAGTGCTCAGAGTCGACATCCTGCCTGGGACAGAGCGGAAGTACTCAGCATACTCAGGCCTATGATGGGGGAATCCTGTGGGTCTGGGGGACACCGAAGAAGAGAATGTCACAGGGCACAAGAGGGAAAGGGACATGATAGAACAGGGGGCCCACGAGGCAGCAGCAGGGAGGGAGGATGGCCCAGTAAGTGCTGGCCTTGATTACAAAGATTCTCTCATTTCCCACTTGCATCATCTGTTTGTTCATCTGCCAAATGGAACAATAAGTGCCCTCCTGCATCCCTCCAAGAACAACTGTGGGGCGATGGATGTGGCTCAATGGTAGCCTTTCCACAGGGGTAAAAGAGGCTGGCAGGTGCCCGGAGGCTGTGGATGCTGGAGTGAGGCCAGACAGGGAGAAGCTGTGGCAGCTGTAGAGGAAGGCGTCCGCAGTGTGGGAACGTCTTCAGCTCCACACGGAGTGCAGTGGCCTACGCTAGGGTGTTGGGTGTTGAGAACTATGGTAGGGGGTTGGAATATCAGTCTCACACCTTAGAAAATAGGAGACAGGACCAAGGATCTCAGAAGTTGGATCGATGATGTGACTCAGGGTTCTGGAATATGGGTGAGCACTGGCTCTCGGAGTTGGACATAAATGGGCGCTGAGTTCGTGCTGCCAACCTAGTTCTGCCAGGTCCTACATTACTCATCCTCTTCTAGATCCTTCTTCACGATTCTGGGAAGGCTTAACAAGTAAAAACAGGCAGAGCCGCCCAGGTTCCCTGGAGCTATGGGCAAAGAGTCATTTTCTTCTGGAGTCTGAGGCCCAGCAGACACTACGTTACTGAACAGAAGGAGTTGATTCTGAGTGCTCTGGCAGAACATTTTCTAGGCACTGGCTATTCTGAAGCAGGGCGAGCCCTCCCTGGCTATAGTTCACACCCAGGGGGTGCTCACCAACAGGGCCTGGAAGCACAGAGTCTAGAGAAGGCCTAGGGACAGCACCCACATCTATGCCCAGGTACTCAGTGTTGCTCTCAGACACCTCCAAATCTGGGCCACTGCAGGCCTCAGACCTTTGGGGCAGCCCAGGCTGTCTGCATCCTTCAGGTCAGAGAAGATACTGGCATGTGCCCTGTTCCCGGTCCTCTGTGGACATTTCTCACCAGCCTCTGCTGAGCACTGACTGCCCTGACCACCTTTCACACCACTGAACCCCAGGTAGCCTTGCCAGATCCATTACAGCGGTCCCCCAATGTCAGAGCCATCACTTCCTGTTTATGTCAGTTCTCTGGTCAGAGCCTCCTGCATTCACGCCTAATGCTCTCCTCACTTCAAACCAATAACCTCCCACCTCCTGCTTCTGCAAAAGACTTCATCTTGTACTTTCTCATTTATTTATTTATTTATTTATTTTTTTATGCATCAAGACTCCTATTTTCTGAATAAGGGAGAACAATCCCTTCAACTGTCATGCACTTAGTGGTTCCTTCTCTATATTAACTGCCTTCTTCCCCAGCACATGAGGAAGGCTTTCAACCATGGACCAATTCTCCTGACCCTTGGATAATATCCCTTTAATGGGGATAGTGGGCTGGAGCGATAGCACGATGGGTAGGGCATTTGCCTTGCACGCGGCTGACCCAGGTTCGATTCCTCCACCCCTCTCGGAGAGCCCGGCAAGCTACCAAGAGTATCTCACCCACACGGCAAAGCCTGGCAAGTTACCTGTGACATATTTGATATGCCAAACACAGTAACAAGTGTCCCAATGGAGACGTTACTGGGCCCGCTTGAGAAAATCAATGAACAACAGGAGGACAGTGCCAGTGCCAGTGCCAGTGATTTATTTGTGCTATGAGGGAGATTTTATTTATGCTATGAGGCCTCCTCCACCCAGATCCCCCATCTTCCAGTAGCTAGACAGTTACACCCACCAACTTCCCCAGCACCCTGTAATTCCATCAATGGCCAAGATCCAGAGACTATAAAACCAAGCTCCTGGAAGAGAACAATGCAGAATCTCCTGCACCTGCACCTGGTTGTCCTCACTGGGGCCCCTTGGAGGGGGGCAGGTTGGTTTTCCCTCCCTGCCCCGAGCAGAGCCCTGGGAGCTGAAGACCTCTAAAACCCAGCCACAGCCATGCTTAAGACCACTCTCCACATGCTCGGATGAGCCTCACGCATGAAGAAATCAGCAGAGGAACCCGGGTATGCAGGACCTGGACTGAGATCTCCAAGCCTGCTCACATTGGAGCTGGACCTCCTCCACCCAGATCCCCCATCTTCCAGTAGCTAGACAGTTACACCCACTGAATGCCTGGGCGCCATGTAATCCTAAAAACATCCAAGATCCAGAGACTATAAAACCAAGACCTCTTATTATCTAGTTCTCACTTTCGGAGAACCCGGCAAGCTACTGAGAGTATCCTGCCCACACGGCAGAGTCTGGAAAGCTCCCCATAGTGTATTCGATATGCCAAAACCCAGTAACAATGATGGGTCTCATTCCTCTGACCCTGGAAGAGCTTCCAATGTGGCACTTGCTAAAATCTCAGGGCTAGGATGAATGGAGACATTACTGGTGCCTGCTCAAGGAAATTGATGAACAACGGGATTACAGTGATACAGTGATGAGGGAGACGGAACCCAGATTTTCCACATCAAGGCACATACTCTGGCCCAGAGACACCTCCCCAGCCCCTCCACTGGCACACAGCTCTGATGAGAAGTCATCAGGCCACCTGTCCACCATCAAACCACCTGCCTGCTAGCTTCCTTCCTCTGTCTCTGGACTATAGGTGAGTCTTTATGGCTGGGGAAGCAGGCCTTACACTGGGGGGTAGGAGGGGCAGCCCCATCATGGTGATACCCAGCGATCCACAGGACCCTTCTGGATCAGACTGCTTGGCCCTCATCCTGCTGGGCCTGGCTTGGGCAGGCAGCAAGTGTGTAGTGGCTGGGGGAAGAACAGGATAAAGCAGAGGCCATGAGCACATGCACAGGCTGAGGTGTCTGGTTCAGGCACGCACCTGGAGGAATGAGGTCAGTGCAGATTGCAGGTAACACAGCAGTGAACATGCTGCAGTGCTGGGGGAAAGCTGGAGATGAGAGGAGGCCAGGCCACTGGCTGGTCCCCTGGCAACCACGGCTGCTAGCAACAGAGACAGTGGGCAAGGCAAGCCCCTGGGCAGCCCTACTTCCTTTGGCATGAATGACCAGAGCCCCCAGAACCCGCATCAGGTTCATGGTGTTCATGGAATGCTAACATCTGTGCGCATGTTATGGTGACGGTGATACTGGCTACAGACATCCCTTCTCACTCCTAAAATGGCAGGTGCGTGAAGTGTCATCTTGAACTGTTGCCCTCTTCCTCAACACGTAAAAGTTATTTCTAACTTGGCCTATTTAAGAAGAGGATAAGGAGCTTATGAGAAGATTCTAGGCTGGGGCCATGCAGTCCGGAGCGGGTGGGGCCAGTGTGGGAGCAGCTGAGCCCACCCTCTGTGCACCCCTAGGCGCTGCACTGCCTCTGCTGAGCTGACAGAGGCGGGGCCGGGCAGTGGGATCTGGCTTCATCCTGGGCTTCCAGCATGAGCTCTGGGGCATGAAGGTCACAGATGCTGTCCTGACTGGGCAGAGGCCACTTTCCCACAACTGGCACTCTTTGACGACTCCAAAGAACCACTTTTGTCTGGTTCTGAGCAGTGGATGGATTTCCTGGCCAGCTTTTGGCCCTCGGCTTTCCCTTTCAGAAGCATCGGTCAGGAGAGGGGACCCCAGGACCTCTGGCACCCCGAGACTCTCCACAATTCCCACCCCAGTCAGGTGCATACCTGCTCCAAAGGCAAAGAAGCAGATCTTGTCCTGGTTCTCCTGCAGCAGTGCCAGGACCCTCCTGCCCATGCGCTCGTTCCTCTTGTAGATGAGCTCCTGGCGGAAGTAGCTGTCAATTTCCTGGGCTGTCACCTGCTCGTGTGGTGGGAGGGTGGTGTTGATGAAGTTGGGCAGCTGGAAAGGCAAGACAGAGGGGTCTTCGGTTCCTTCTGGAGCAGGGGTCCTGCATTCCACTGGCCTGAGCCACCCCCATCCTGGGCCCCGCTGTGAAAATTGCCCGGAACTCCCCAAGGCAATTCACTGCCCACTTGGAGCTCACCTCTAGTCATGAGCAAAGCCAAGAAGTAACCACTCCCCCCGTCCAGAAGTGCAGATGTCCAGGTGTGTGTGAAGACAGGTAAGGCGGAGCACGTGAAGGTGGGGTTTGGGGTCTGCTGTGAATGGCTCAGGTAGACCAGGCAGAGACTCTCTGGGCTAAGTCTTAAAGGTGAGGCAGGGTGTCTGGGCAGGAGGGGAAGGTGCCAGGTAGGCCTATGGGAGAGCCAGGAGGCCTGTGCAGTAGGACTGGCATGTGCAAGGGGTGGCAGAAGGATGTGAGGATTGGGGGACTGAGATGCTAGGGCCACACAGTCCCCTGCAGAGATGCTACGTGGAACAAGTGGGGTTAACTGTGGGATGCTGTCCTGGCTAGTTATGGCTATTTGAGCACCCGTGAAGAAAGTCTAGGGGGCTTGGAGGTACCTAGAAGAACCCTGCTTGCACCCAGGGGGCTGGGGAGGGTTTCCCAGACCAGGGCGGAGGAGCAGGAGGGAGGGGGCTGGAGCTGCACAGTGGGACCTCAGGGGAGTAGAAGGAGGTATATGAGTACGAAGACCTGGGTGGGACTCAGGTAGTAAAGACCATCCACTGACCACTGTGCTGGCCCACAGACCCCATCTCCAGGAACTGGTCCTGAGGACAAAGGGGAAGCTTGGGGAAGTCCAGCTGGATGGATTGTCCTTTCTGGCAGAAATGGGGTCAAGGAAGAACCCCAGGGTTGGTGCCCTGGCTCTGAGGAAGTGCCAGTATCTCTTTCCTGATGCAGCACTGTACCCCTCAGAAACCTTGTTCTTGTCAGCTACTCCACTTGAGGCTGAGCTCCAGAACCACACGGGCTCAGAGCTTATGATCCCCACCTGGGTAACAGCTTCTCAACTGTCTGTACTGTTTCTTCTCTGCTCTCAGCCTCAGTTTCCTCCTCCGTTAAGTGTGTGTGTGGGGGGGTGCTAGCAGTTCCTGCTCCCCCTGGGTGGAGGGAAGGAGGCCGGTGGGTTCCTTGGGGCCCGCCTTTCCCACTGGTGGTGGGCAGAGGCTGCTCACCTGGGACGTGTCATGGTTGAAGATGACGGCATTGAGGTCCCCGCAATTGTAGTGTTTGATGAGGTCCTCGGTGGTATAGGGCGCCTGCAGACTCCCAGCCCGCACACTCTCATGCTGTAACAGCGTCTGGTTCAGCGCAAACAGCACCTGGAGACACAGAGAGGAATAAGTGCGGGGCTGGCACCCTCTTCTGAACAAAGGAGGTGTGAGGGAGCTGGGACCCTTCCTCCAACAGAGGAGGTGTGTGGGACTGGGCCTGGCTGGCTTAGCCATGTTTTCCCTTGCTGTTCACTCAGGTCCCGAGCCCCTGCAGCAACCCAGCCTCCATCCCAGTACTTTGCCCCACAGGTCAACAGGTCAACAGCCCAATGTTAGAGGCAGTGATGCAGCGAGAAGTTAACCCCAGCCATGTCCAGGCTGTGAAATCAAGCCAGTTAGCCAGTCTCTCTCTCTTTCTCTCTCTCTCTCTCTCGTTTTTTTGCTTTTTGGGTCACACTCAGCGATGCACAGGGGCTACTCCTGGCTCATGCACTCAGGAATTACTTCTGGCAGCGCTTGGGGTACCATATGGGATGCTGAGAATCGAACCCGGGTCGGCTGCATGCAAGGCAAATGCCCTACCCACTGTGCTATCGCTCCAGCCCCCCTCCCCCCAGTTCCTCTCTTAACGCTTTTTCTTTTCTGTGCTTTAGAAAAATGTTCCGGTGAGAACACAGACTTGTTAGATAATTAAGCACACTCTTGAACAAAACTAAGTAACAAAGCAAACAGCCCTTAGATGTGAGGGCCAACCTAAAGGACATTTCTGGAAGCTGTCCTCCTGCCAGACATAGGCTAGGGAGCTGCAGTTCTCCACCACAATCCAGCTGGCCTGTGGCACAGTTCTGCGAGCAAATCTGCTCATGGGTCTCAGTAGGGCCAGGCCTGCAGGCACTGTGAGCACTGGGGAGGTTGGGGGCTGCAGGTGCAGCCCCTGAGGGGAATCTCGGAGGAAGAGCCTGGCTCCTGGGCACTGCATATAGTCTGCTACTACACTACACGTGCATCCACTATTGGGGGCTGCGGCTCTGAGGGAACACGGCCCCAGAAAGCCTCCTAGGATGCTCTGTGTATAGGGGAGACTGAGGCCCATGAGGGGAAGTAATTTGCACAATTTCATATAACTGGCTTTGTTATCCAGACAAGAAAAAAAGAGAATCCTGCCTGTGATTCCGATCTGAACACAGATGGGGGAGACACTTAGGGCAGTCCCCGTCCTGAAGCGGGGCTGGTCCCCCATCCTGCTGACTCCTGCTGGTTCTCAGACCCTGTTTCCCCTGAGGGAACACTGGCTTGTCGGACAGACCCTGTGTCTAAGGCCTGAGCAAGGCTTTCTGGGTCCACTGTGAGAACCCTTCACCCCCACAGGCCACTGACCTCTCTCTCGCCTGTGCTCCTCTGCCTTGGGCACCTTTAAAGAGCACATAGGGAAGGCAACTCCTTCTCTGTTTTTTTTTTTTTAATTTAGAAGAATACACCTGGCAGTGCTCATGCGTTTACTCCTGACTCTGTGCTCAGGGATCACTTCTGGCAGTGCTCGGGGGAACACTTGTAGTGTCAGATCAACCCCGCCCATTCCTGTGTAAGGCAAATACCCTGCCCTCTGTACTATTGCCCCAGCCCTTTTCCCTCCGGTTGTTCAGACGTGGAGGGTCCCTCTGGCCCTGTTTCCAAAGGCTTAGCCCCCTGGCTTCCAGCCCTGCCGGAGTCCCTCTGTGATCTTCGTCTCCACCCTGTACATGCTGTTCCCTGAGCACATGCTGTTCCCCAGCTCCACTCATAGATCCCACCTGGAGATTCTATCGAATGCTACTTTGGGAAGCTTCTCTAACCCCTACAGGCCAGTGGGCCAGGACAGCTGGGGTACAGCAGCTCAGGCCACTCCTCCTAACGAGATGAATGAAGATGCGGTCAGAGCCCACCACCTCCCATTCTGACACCACCCCTGAAACGTGATCTGCTATCAGTAAGGGATGCCCAGAGCAGCAGGGGGGTCCTGGTGCTTCTGAGATGGCCACAGAGAAGGGAGTATCCCTTCACAGCACAGACCGAGGATGCAGGTGGCCACAACTGCACACGCCTATCCTGGGTTGCCACCCCCCTGGCCTGTGTGAGGTCATGGAGCCAGTGCCTAAGGTGCTCGACTAGAGGGGAAAAGGCTTCCTGGCCTGTTCTCGGCACATGGACCTCCCACTGTCTAGCTCCCCAGGAGGTGTGAGTGTGGTAGCATGGTATTCTTCAGCCTTCTAAGGCCTGCAAACTGGCACAGGCTTGTGGTGTGCTCTGGTCTGTGGTCTACTCTGGCCTGTGGTCTGTTCTGTGCCCTGCGGTCTATAGTGGCCTGTGGTCTACAATGATTTGCGATCTATACTGACCTGTGGTCTGCACTGACCTGAGGTCTACACTGACCTGTGCGCTACACTGGCCTGTGGTCTGCTCTGGCCAGTGGATGGTGCTGATCTATGCACCAGGGGCTGAAGCCCTCCTTTCTAGTGAGTTAAGCCCGGTATCTTCTGCAGTACTGGCATGTAGCCAGTACCAGAGAGATGTGCGGTAAAGAAAACACGGAGGAAAATCAACCTGAGCATTCCCGATGGGCGCCAGTGGCCCTGGAGGTCATTAGGTCTCATGCCTCTGTGAACCAATTTTAGTAATGGAATGCTTTTTGGTGTTACTACTTTCCAAAGGAATCTTTACTTGGAACTCCAAATGTGGAGCTGCTAAATTTGGAAAGTCCCGAGGTGAGGGAAGCAGGCTGGAAGCCTGCAGGGGTTCCTACATGTTCCTACATGTCTCCATGGGACCCACAGATGGCCCTAAGCCCCACTGGAGAATCGCATGCTCTCTGCTCTTGCCATTAGTCAGTGGAGGAGTTGGCCTCAGCAGATGGGGGACTAGTTCAAGGCTGCAAGGTGGGGGGCGACAGGTCAGAGCAGGTTTTGTCCTGTAGAGCAGTTTCCTGCAGAATGGGCACCATGGGGACAATGTATTCCTACACTTGCAATCTCGGACCCAGACCCAGGGACCATCCACTCACGCACACAACTACCCACAAACCCAGGCCCTCCGTAAATCATACATGCATTCCCTCACACATGTACTCATGTACACACTTCCTCAAACATGCACTCATGCACACACTCCCTCACTCACACAGGCACTCATGCACACACTCCCTCACTCACACAGGTACTTTTGCATGTACTCCCTCACTCATACTCATGCGCACACTCACACATGCATGCATGCACTCCCTCACAGAAGCACTCATGCACATGTTCCTTCACTCACACAAGAGCATGCACACACACACACACACACACACACACACACACACACACACCCTCACAGAATCACACTTACATGCACTCCCTCTCTTCCTCACAAATTTTCTCACTCATTCAGGGCACATCTACAGTTGCTTCTCTACAAGGACTGGGGGTTGGTGATTGCCTGAGTTTGGTTCTCTCCCATATGGATCTCATTTAGAAGCAGAAATGCCAATAGGCCATCCCAGTGGAGCATCCCAGTGGAGGTTGCTAAGTTGGGCCATCAGGCCCATGCAGGGCAGAGAGCAGTGCAGCCTGACTGCTGCCTCCTTCATTCTGAGCTCCCCAGCCTGATGCTGCTCCTGGGGCCCCCAGGCCTATGCTCCCGGCCACTCTGGAATAACAAACCATCCCTGCCTGTAGCCTCGGTGGCTCACTCTGGGATAATGTTTATGATAAGGCTTTGACATAGAATAATAAACACGGGACACAGTGATAGCTGCCTCACTCCCGAATGGCTGGGATGGAGCCTCGGCCACCAAAAGCCTGGAGAACCTCAGCGTCCCCCTTGCCAGGGCTCACTGGCCAGGAGGTGGCCCGCGGCATCTGCGAAGTGCAGGTCTGGAGTTTAAACACATCTCTAGACATGCGCCCAAGATGGAGCGGCAGGCGCCAGGAGGGTGGGGACTAGTTTATTGTTCCAGATTAGTGTAGTAAACAGTCGGGCAGTGGGGACCAGGGACAAAGGGTCTTTGCATTCAGTCATGGCCCACAGGTTCAGTGGAGGAGAGGCTGAACACTCCTTGTTAAGAATGCTGGGATCCCGGGATCCAAGGCCCAGGCCCAGGAAACTACAACCAAGGCCACACCCCACTGGGCAGTGTGTTCTTGTGTCCTGACCCCCACATGTCACACACTTTTCCAGGAGACCAGGGACTCATCAGGGACAGAATTCACATCCTGTTCCCACTGCACTTCTCTGCATGTGCAGGTGGGTATGAGGGCTGTGAGACTCGTGGGGACGGAACTTCCCTGGACAGCCACTGAAGACACAGCCACGCTTTTCTCAGGTCTGCTACTCTGGGCCTCTCGTGCCTCTAACTCATCCCAGAAGGGAGCGAGCACACTGGCTGGGTGAGATATCCCGATCTGGGAAGTGGGATAGGGAAGGCTGAGATACTGCATACGCTACATCCCGGATAGTCAGGATGTATCAGATCTTTATTTCTGAGAGGTCTGGGCCATTCCTGGGCCTGTCTGTGTAATGGGATTCTTACCATTTCCATTGAGCTTAGCTGATCATTGGGTATAGTAACCCCAAGAGATGGCCGAAGGGTGTTCTGAGAGCAAAGACACCCAATCATTCACGATAAAACGGTCTCTGTTTTATTTTGGAGACGCGGTTCATTTATCCTTCATTTGTAGAAACCCTAGGAAGCATGACAAGTCCACTTTCCCAAGAGGAAAACTGAGGTTCAGAGAAATGAGGGTCCTCTTCTCCACAGTCAGGGCCACGATCTGGTACCTTTGCTCTGCCCAGTCTTAGTGGAACAAATCCTTCCTGCCACCAAGGTTCTGCGCTCTGCGTGAATCTTCTTTTGCCCCCAGAAGTCACCTCCGAAATGGAAACCCCCCGTGTGGTGCAAAACGAGCACCATGGAGCAGAACTTCGCAGAGAACCAGCTAGAGCCACCTTATCTCAGTCACAGAGCTTTTACGAAAGGCAAGGGAGAGAAGACGGAAAGAAAACCCTAGCATTAAATTGTTCAACACAGAAGGAAGAAATCGGGGCCGCATTGAAGACTCTCAAAATGGTCAGTGAAGAAACCGGTATGAGGG